AACAATCTCAATGAAATAAAATCAAAAAAAACGTACAGATTGTTGTGCATTATTGATCGTTATTTTCGTGATGATTTCTAATTATTCGCAGTTCATATGTGTATATGATGACCATAAAACAAGGTGAACACATCGTATATAAATAGAAAACGAGAGAGAGAGGGAGAGAAATGAAAGCTCTAAAAGGCTAAATAATATATTAAATGTATATAAGGTGTGACATATAATTCGTTCTCTTGAGATGCACGTCAATTGTTGTGAGTAAGAGACAGAAAAAAATTTATATATAAAGAGAAGAAAAGTTCTCGTTTAATGAGCCTCATCGGAACATTAGATGACGTTTTAACGGCGAAACAGTTGCCTCATATATGAAAAGAACGTATTGCAACTATACCAGTTGTTGACCGAGATGTAAGAATGAAATATTCATTGGACAAAAAATATATATGACAGTTTTATGTTCTTTCATTAACGTATCAAATTTTAATTGTTGAGATACATATTAAGAATATAGTTTATCTCTTGACGCACCGACAAAAACTTTAAAATCTATTAAAAAATAGTAATGATTATCGGAAACAAAAAAATAATCCATATAGATTTCTTTATTAACAAAGAAGTCTAAATTCCATGTTTCTCTTTTATATAAAATCGAAAAGAATTTAAGAAGACTTTGCTGTAGCTATCAAAGCAATATTTTCGAGTGTAATATTTTTTGATGCATAAACTTTAAGATGAGTATCAAATCCATTCTCATTTAGATATTCAATTCGACCCCAATCTAATAATCGTTTTGCTTTTAAACCAATTTGTTCTTGTTGTTCAATAGGAAATAAACGTTGTTTAGAATAAGTTGATCGACTTGTCGGTATTGAAGTATCTAATTGAAATGAAATAGTACCATCTAAATAAATATTGAACAAAGAAAAAATATATCTATGAAAATAATTATTCATTTACCAATTGTTGATCTTTTTCCTTCTTCTACCAATTTATGACGATTTTCATCTGTACCCCATGCTGTTAATGTTCGTATTAAACAAAAATCTTTTGGTGTTAAATTAAGACGACGAAAAAAATCTTTTCCAACATAATCATTCCATAATAGACGATGATGGCAACATAAAGCGATAATAATTGCTCGAATATTATGAGTATGTTGTTGAGCATCAACTGCACAACGTAGAGCAAGGTCAGTTGCACCTCCACATAAATGTTTACTTATAAGAACTATATGTGTTTGAGAATCTTTTGGAATTGGTAAATCAGGTAGATAAAGATCACGAATATCAAGTCGATAACGTCCAAATGATGGACCTGAATGTTCAGGTTTATGATGAGCATCAAAACGATAACGTTGATGATCACGTTCAATAAGTGCAAAATGAATTGTTGAATCATCTTTTACACAAGCATGAAGTTCATGAGATAATTGACCACGTCCAGCACCCATTTCAAGAAAACATGTATGTGATTGTAAAAGATCTAATTGTACTAGTTGAGCTATAATTGATCCAATTTGTTCTAAATGTTTACGTGAACGATTACCAAGTTCTTCGATATTTATATGTGGTAAATAACAATCAGGAGTTGTTTTATTATTTTCAACTGGTCCTTTAACAAAATTATCATGAAGAGTTTCCATACGAGTAATAAAATTTCGAAGTTCATCTTCATTTATATCTTGTAGAACTGTTGGATAATCATCATGATTATCACATTCAGGTCCCGAATTACAATTATGTTGATGAAATGGACCAAGAATAATAGGACGTTGACTACATTTACGTAAATGTCGTTTTAAATCATATGGTGCGATCGAATGTCGTGGATTGAATGGACATGGCATCCGTAAAGTTAATTTAGTTGCCTAAATGTAATAGAATTCAAAATTTATATAATTAGAACATTAGAGTGATTCTATTTAAGTGAATGCATCATATTTTTTAGTTCCCTATCTGAATAAATCAAAAGTGATGAATAATTTTTTTTACCTCGTCTAAATTTGGATCATGTAGTAAATGTTCCATACAATGTGTAGATAAAGATGTTGATGGTACCATTTTACATTGTCGTCGTTTTCGTGGACATAGATACTGACAACGTGTAGGATCCATTTCGTCTGTCATTATTATCTAGAACAATAGCAAATCTATTATTTTCTTTTATTCACTTTTTCGATTCATTAATAAAAATATATCAAATGAAAGATCAAGTTCGTGTTCATCATTGTCTACATTAAGACATTTAAATATTCTAAAATAAAAATTAAATAAATTTTATTGTACAAAATTATTGATTTATTTACTCTGATTGAAGATCATCTAAAATTGTACTTTCTGGATGTTGTTGAAGAAAAAGTTGAAAACCAGACATTGATATCATATAACCTAATAATCTTCGAATTGACCATTTGCATTTAATTGCAACACTTTCATCCCTTTTGTGTATAAGAAAAATGAATAAAATTTTAATTTCTTTTAATTATTTTTCTTGTGTACTCAAAAAGTGAGTACACTACTAGAATCGGTCAGTGTGTCCGTCCGGCCGTTTACACGATCACTCCTGAAATGCTAAGCCGATCGTCATCAAATTTTGTGCACAGTTTAATCTCATCAGGATCTCGGTCGAGCCATTCCTGAGTTATTGCAAAAATACTGATATTTCCCTATGTTTTCCATATATACTTTTTGCAGTATACATAGCTCTCGGATAAAATCCGAAGTTTCCACATTTATTACCGAGTAAAATCAGTTGATGAAAGTGGAATACGATATTTTTCATCACGATAACGACCAAAGTAAACTTCTTTACTTTCTTTTTGAACATATCCATCAAGTGTATGATGATAGAACTAATTATGAAATAGAAATAGAAAAAAAAATAAAATAAAAACAATAATTTAATATATAATTTACATTGTATAAAATTTCATTAAGTTTTTCTGCTTGTTGGCAATGAACTTGAACAAATGCATATCCAAATAAAACTAGAACACCATTGATTTTTAAAGTTCGTTTAACTTCATTATAAAAATATGGAAGATCAAACCAATGTGCTGCATGACCAGATATAATTAAGGCTAATGATGAATCCTCATGAGGAATATCATTACCAACACTAACTCTATAAAAAAATTAATTATAAGATCTTATAAGATAAATTTATATAAGTACTTATAAT